GACTATTTTGACGATGTCTTTCATACTTTTCTGGACCTTGACAGTGTAATTTACTTGGCAGTGAATGGGACAGTCACAAGCCTCCCGGTTTTCCAAAATATCTTAAATTGTGTTCCGAAGACGAACGAAGCTTTTACGGGTTTGGAACGACATGGGGGTAAGTGATTAATGACAACATTTTTATTTTGGGGTGGAGTATCCCTTTAAGGCTTTCCAAGACCTCTCAGAGATTAGCACCAAATCTTAGGCTGTAGATGATGCGCGTCTAGATGCCATCATGCATGTTCAAATTCAGCCCATAAAGAGGTCAAAACTCAACAAGGAGAGGACGAGCCCCTCAGGAGGGGCGTAGAGGTCAATCAAATCATCTTTACTAACTGCGTTAAAGAGATCTGTATTCTCTAGAGATCCATCTTATGAAGAGAGGTTAAAGTTTGAACTATTTTCGGTGCGCATTAAAAAATCTAGACCACATTAACAACACCACATGTGTTAAGATCATCTGTAGGACGACAGGACTTGAAATGTACCTTCTCATACACACACCAGGAGCCATTTGAATAATGCTACATGCTGCATGTGAATGCTTACACACCAGCGCCACACAGTGGTCATCTGAGGAATGACCACATATCTAGTTTTTAGTCATGTACTGCCAAATCCCATCAAGCAATCTGAAATTTGATTATGGCTATCACAACTCATCAATGAGATTTTGGGACACTTAAATAATTTGGAAAACATCCTGTGCAAACTAAAACAGCCCTTAAAACCTTTTACTCTTAATTTGAGAACATTTTAACTTATAAAAAAATATATTGAGCAGCACAACTGTTTTCAACACTGACAAAATTAAAAAAAAGTTTCTTGAGCAGCAAATCAGCATATTAGAGTGATTTCTGAAGGATCATGTGACACTGAAAACTGGAGAAAAGATGCTGAAAATTCAGCTTTGACATTAGGAATAAATTACATTGAAAATATTTTCAATTTCAAATAGAAAACAGTTAATATTTCACAATATTCCTGATTTTTTCAGTATTTTTACCAACTAAATCCAGCCTCAATAACTTAAAAAACAAACCTTTGAATTTGAACTTTGAATTGAAGAAAAGACAAGAACATCGCAAGCGTAAGGTTTTAAATTAATTTATAAAAAAAAAAAAGCATTGACCCACTGAAGCAGAACAAACATCAATCATATTTTTTTTGCTTTTGTTTGAAACGCATATAACCCGTCAGACAACCCGGCCTGACCAGAATCAAATCATTAAGCAGACAGAATAGGCCTACACCAATACAGCCTAAAAAGAAAAGGGAACGAAACAGAAAGGAAACAGGGAAAAAAGTAAACAAAAAGAACAGTCTAATCAAGTGCAGATCTGGTCTGATTCAAAGCGGTTTCTCGTATCTTGGTTTTTTTTTTTCCTGGATTACATCGGCGGCTCAGGTACGTTTGTCTAGTCCGTTACATGCAAGCTGGATGAAAACAGTTCGACTACACATGGAAATGACATGTCCACTCGAGCATCTGTATGAAAATATGTCGGTGTAACAAAGCCAGTTTTGCTCAGATTTAAAAATAAACAGAAAAGGAAAAACATAGGAAGGAAATACTCCACTGATACATTTTTAGCCATCTTAGAAAAGAAACTACGCTTAGTTTCACAAAACAGAAAACAGACACAAACTTCTGCTCATATGCTGCTGCTGCTTATATATATTGTTATTATTACTTTTTAAAACGTCTCTATAAATGAAAACACGCCCAGATCCTATGCTCCATGTATGAATGACAAAATACTGCATATTATCCACTACGACGGCTACAGGGGATTGTGGGGGATGCTGTCAGGCTAGCTGCCGAAAGTTTAGGAATATCTGATGTGTTTCGGAATATTTTGATCCCTTTGGCTCCACGTACAGCCCTAGTATGCACTATTTTAAAAAAGACAACAACCTATTTGTGGTTCATGGAGTGTAATTCCATTCCAGGACATCCTCTTGGCTTTTCACCCTCGGTAAGTGGACTGCCAAACTTTGGAATGTTGGATCGAAGCCCGTGTTCCGCTGTCAGCGCCAAAAAAATCCGGATTCCGCAAGCGGGAGTTCTGGAATTCTCAGTCTGCTGTGAGCAACACACGAGTTCCGGAGGTTCTAGAATCCTTTTGAGTCCGCAGCGGATCAACATCTGCACATCCGGAGGGCATTTTTCCTTTCAATTTTGTCTGCGAGTCACTAAAAATCACCATGACTCCCAAAGAACGGAATCCGAGCAGATCGAATGCCTCCAACATCTGTTGAAGTCTGTAATAAAATGCCCAGTTACAAACCAAATGGCAGTTGCTCTTGTGTTTCGAGGTGCGAGTTTTTGTTCAATCAGGCGTTCGAGTATTAAAACGGAAAAAAGGCAGAAGGGTTGCTGCGGAAAATGACAGTAACGGATAGTATTTTATGCATTTGGTTCTTTTTTGACGTTTTTGCTTCGGTTCAAAGAGTTATTGTCCAAGCCTTCAGTTTTGGCAACGTGAGCTGCTGGATTGAAGAGAAACCGTGATGAGAACGAGAAAAAGGAAAAGAGAAAACCAGAATAAAGGGAGGGAAAGTGGTGGTGGTGGTTAATGGGTGACTAGTTGTGCTGGTTGGTGGAGTTTGTGTCCGCAGCGGTTCATTTCGGGTCGGTGGTGACTGCGTGTTCTTTGTCCTCGATTTTCAATCGTTTGCTCTCCGGTGGCTCGCTCCCGTTTTCTCCGTTCTGCCGCTTCGTTGGGAGGGAGGCGGACGCCGAGGCGTGAGTGGCCAACATGTGTAAAGGACTCGACACTGGACACAAACAGAAAGAGATGCTTGACATTAAAATCCTCTCTCAAGTCTTGGGTTGCTGTGCTATCTGAGATTCCTTATTATTAAAAAACATTATTATTATTTCTAAGACAGAAATATATTACTAATACTACTGTAAAACAATTGCACTGTAAATGTAAAAACAAAATGAATAAGTATACTTTCAAAAGTTAAAGTCTTGAGCACTGGGGTTTGACATTAGAATTCACTTTTGTTTCACTTCAAAGGGTTAACAGCAGTTGTAAAAAAAAAATATCATAAGTTTATTAATTATATGACATTGCAGTAGTAAAATTACAATATATATAACTACTTTTCTTCACTTTCAAGACTTTAAGCCTTGAGCTTTTGGTTTTCTATGACAGAATTAATTTTTGCTTAGCTTCAAAGGGTTAACAGCAGTTGTGAAAATAAAGAAATAATTGTTTTACTTTACAATAGTAGAATTACAATGCATATGACTTCATTTCTTTACTTTCAAGAGTTTAAGCCTTGGGCTTTTGGTTTTCTTTGACAGAATTAATTTTAGCTTCACTTCGAACGGTTAACAATGGTTGTAAAAAAAAAATTAAAAAAAAAAGAATATTTCATAAGAATATTAATCATATTACTTTACATTGGTAAAATTACAACATTTCCAACTTAATTTCTTCACTTTCAAGAGTTTAAGCCTTGAGCTTTTTTGACATTAGAATTCATTTGTGCTTTGCTTAAAAAGGGTTAACAGCAGTTGTGCAAAATAATATTTGATAAAAAGTATAACAATTAATTTACAGTAGTAAATAAGAATTGTGACTTAATTTAATCAATTTCAAGAGCTTAATCTTTGAGTTTTTGGTTTTCTTTGACATTAGAATTAGCCTAATTTTTGTTTTGCTTCAAAGCGTTAACAACAGTTGTAAAAAAAAAAAAAAGGAACGTTTCATAAGTATATTAATTGTTTTACTTTACAGTAGTACAATTATAACATTTCCAACTTAATTTCTTCACTTTTAAGAGTTAAAGACTTGAGCTTTTGGTTTTCTTTATAGATTTTAGAATTCACTTTTGCTTCACTTTAAAGGGTTAATGAATATTTAATAATAAATATATAAATTATTTTAATTTAAGTCAGAAGTATTGTAATTTCACTACTATAATTTCTTCACATTCAAGAGTTAAAGCCTTGAGCTTTTACTTTGGGATAGACTGAGCTAGAGAAATTTGAAAAAAAAAAATTTTTTTACAGTATATTCACTATAGAAATGTACAGTAAATAGAGAAATATAATATAGAAATGTCACTTGTATATTTCTACAATACTGAAATGCCCATGAACTTTAAGAGTTCATCCATTTTCATGACTTCTTCAGTTATGAAATGGGGGGAAACAAAAACCAAAAAAAGAATATGAATAGAAAGAAAAGAAAATCTGTATTCAAATTCTGCTATCCTGTAATGATATGATTAATGTTTAGTGTGATATCAGATGTGTGAATGAATACCTGCATTAGCCTGGCTCTGTATCACCGTGGCGATGGGCACTACATGAGTGCCATTCTGGGTGATGGTTTTGATTGGCAGTTGGTGCTGGCCCAATGGGGCTTGTTGCACTATGGTAACCGTCTGGAGGGGTGTGGCTGCAGTGCTGCTTTGAATGATCCTATTGGCTGAGCCTATAGAGCCATGAGTGATGCCAGGAACTGACTCTACCTTCACTAAAGAGACAGAACACATTTTGTTACTGACATTATCTGAAGAAACCCAAACCAGGTCAAGTGCCTGGACCTAAGCGCTTACCTTTGACCTCCTCTCCATTCTCCAGCGTTTCTGTTTTGATGGCAGGGTGCAGGCTTGCTCCGCCAACAGAACTGACGGCCACCGCAGGGATCTGATGCACCACGTGCACCGTCTGCATCAGCGGCTGCGCAGACGTGGAGGACGTGACGGGGGCGGCCACAGCGTACGTGACGGGTTTGATCGTCTGCGTTAACGGACGCTGGACCGCAATCAGAACCGGCTGTGTGGTGATGGGAGACGCTGAGAAAGAAAACAAGCAAGACGTTATGTAAACTAATTGATGCACTATTGACACACAGATTCAGACAGATACAGATAAGCAGTGCTATTTTAGTATCACTGAGATCCTATTTTATAGATTGTATTAATATTTCAAACAATTGTTTATTTCTATATTTTCAGTTTCCATTTTAAATATAAGTTTTAGTAATTTTGTTATAGGTTTTAATATTTAATATTTCTTATTTTTTATGTCTATACAGTTTTTATTTTTATTTCAGTAATGTTCATCAAGTTTAAACTAAAATGAGAACTATTACCTAAGTTTTTTTTCTTTTATTTATTTTTTGTTCCATTTAAATGTTATTTTATTTGAAATAAAGATGTTTTTTAAGGTTTAATTTACTATAATAACCCTGCCGATAATCTGCAATTGTTTTTAAGACCCATAACAAAAACACAAATAAATAAATAAAATTTAATTACATTTAAATGAGTAGTCTACAATTTTATTGTAAACTAATATACAGTGTAGCACAGATTTGGACAGATACCGATAATCTGTAATTATTTTTTGTTAAGGTCCATAACAAAAACACAAACAAATAAATAAATAAAATTTTATTAAATTTAAATGAGTAATCTACAATTTTACTGTAGACCAGGAGTGGCGAACGTTGGTCCTGGAGAGCCGCAGCCCTGTAGTTTTGCTTCAACCCTAATCAAACACACCTGAACAAGCTAATCAAGGTATGAAGGCTTACTAGAAAGCTACAGGCAGGTGAGTTTTTATATATATATGTATGTATGTATGTATGATAAAATTACTATTGTTTTGCCTTAAGTGCAGTTACCAATAATATTACATGGTCATTTCTTGTTTATTTTATGTTTATACACATTTGACAGTAAAGCACTAAGCTTGAGTTGGGAAGCTTACAAAATGTATTTTATTAACAACAGTAACATGTGCAAAATCAAATTTTTATGTTGAAAAGACATATATTGTACTCTTATTAGATAATAATAATTCCTCTATAGTCTTATATGAAACTGACCAACAACTTACTTGACCAACAAGTGATTATGTGTGATTTAGTTGCAAATTGAAGAAAAGTTTGTTTTTCAAA